ATTTATTTATAATGACTGTATACAGTGGCGTATTTATATTTTTAAAATTTTTTTTTGTGTGTGTACATGAGAACTTGTCGAAATAATGCTTCGATTTTAAACTTCAGTAGCTTTTCTGGTTCGAAAGTGAATCTAGTTGGTGCATTGGGAGGTCATTTTTTGAAATTCCCAACAGTTTTTAAAAGCACCGGGAAAAATCGAAAAAAAATTAACGAAAAACGGGAATTTTTACGCAAAATCAAATTTTAAAAATTCAATTTTAGATATTGGTGTAACTCTAAAACTAATTACTGTAAATACATGAAATTTTCACAGAATTTTTATACAAGCATTTTCTATACATGATAAAATTTTCAAAAATTTTAAAATGTTTTCAAGTTATTTATAGACATTTAAAACTTTCAATCTTATTTAGTTTTTTTTTTTATAAATGACAATAAAATTTTATTCGTTGGGTAAAAAAGCTTCAAAATTTGATACAAGACTTCTAATATATTGTTGCAATAGTAGTTAAAAAATATTAAAAATTCATAGTCACAATTTTTTTTTATAAGCATTGAAAGTTTGAATTTTGACAAAATACGTWAAAATCACGAAAATTTGCAATTTATTTTGAGTTAGAAATTCATAAAAATGTTCTTTTTAAATCTATGGTTTGACAATTCTATACATGATTCTTCATGAGTTTGTCCACTTTTATCAAAAAAAACATTTCTACTGGAAAGTCAAATTAAATTTTTATGAGCATTTGAATTACAATATTAGATATTCACTCAATTTCTGTTGTACCGATATTCTTATTTAGTTGTTATATAAAAACTAATAATTGTAGAAACTTGAAATTTACATCAAATATTTATGTTATCAATTCCTATACTTGATAAAATTTTCAAAATATTTCAACTATTTTTAAGTTATTTATAGACGTTTGAAATTTTCCGATTTTAGTTTTGTATTCTATAAATGTCAATAAAATAAGGATTGAAAATTTGAAACAAGGTTCCACGTAACACAATAAATCTAATTTGATTAATTTGGAATTTATTTTATAGGTACCTACATTTAAAAAAAAAATAATATAATTAATATTGCATAAAATATCCAAGACTAAAAACTCGTCTCCGATCAGAATCGTTTTTCATATACAATGATATTATATCATTGAATTCAAATTTAATACCATCCTTTACAGTAACCCACTTGAAAACTACTGTACAGCAGAGCGAAATCCACTTATTTACCCGCTTTTTTCGGTTTTTTTTTTTTATAAATGTCAATAAAATTTTTTTATTGGGTCAAAAAACGTGAAAATTTAGTACAAGGCTCCTGACATACTGTTACAATAACAGTTGAAAAATATTAAAAATAAATAGGCACACATTTTTTTTATAAACATTATAAATTCGAATTTTGACAAAATTTATCAAATTTAAATGTTATAATTATTTTGTAGTCAAAAATTTATAAAACGTTAAACTTTTATAGCTAATAATTGAAAATTTAAAAAAAGATTCTACGTAAATAGGTTATATATATAGATTACTTTATTCACAATAATATCATCAAGTATACTTGGTAATATCATAGGCCAACTGAGTAACTGACCGAAGACGGTCAGTATCGTTTCTCGTATACAATGATATTTTATCATTGAATTCAAATTTATACCACCCATTATTGACCCACTTATTATCCCACCTATCATTTCAGTTGATGATTGTCGAAAAAGATGGAAAAACATGAAGGATACTTACAATAGACACAAAAGAAATAGGAAATTAGGAACGGGATCGTCAGCGCTAAGCAAACCAACAAAGTGGGCATTATCAGATGCACTATCATTTCTAGACGTTGTTTTATATGAACGAGAGTAAGTTTTTTTTTTAAATTACTTAAAAAAATTGTTTTACAAGTGTATTTATTTGATGAAAAGAACGCCAGTATATATTATTTTTAAATAATTGTTCCGTAGATGTTTGTCCAGTATTCAACCCTACACAAATGAGTATGCTAGTGAAAATGAAAATAACTCTATTTTAGAAGATTCAGAGGTTCAAGAATTGAATAATACACCATCAATAATTCCATCTACATCACAAGGCTATGTGGGGCCCATAGAAGATATTATAGAAGGTAATATAGAAAATATTAATTCAGTACCCGAAAAAAGTAAAAGTAACACTGAAAAATGGCCCCCCAAAAAACAAAAACAAAATGAAGAATGGATCTCTGTATTAAAACAAGGGAGTGAAGAGAGAAAAAAAATTTTTGAAATTATCAATAAAGTTGAGGAGGATGACCCGATTGATACTTTTTTCAAGAGTATGGCATCAACAGTGAAAACTTTTTCTACTAGCTTAAAAATTAAAGCAAAAAAGGAAATTTTTGACATTGTTAATAATTTGGAGTTTCAAAATCATGGTATTAATAATGATTCAACACCCAGAATATATTCATCATCTCCAAGTACACAGTCATCTCAATCAACATTTACGACGTATAATCAACCAGTTCCTGTAGAAGGTTTACCAGAAGTAGTCAACAACTATCAAATATCAAGAGAAAATTGGATGCAGTATGGAGAAGATTATGATCAATAAGCTCTATACATTTTTTTATTTATTTGGTATAAAAAATGTTTATTTAATTTTAAAATAAATTGTTATTTTTGATTTTCATTTGTAAGTGCATACATATTATGTTTAATTTTTTTTATCAAGGAAAAGGTTTTTATTTAATTTTAAAATAAATTGTTATTTTTGATTTTCATTTGTAAGTACATACATATTATGTTTAATTTTTTTTATCAAGGAAAAGGTTTTTATATAATTTTAAAATAAATTGTTATTTAATTTAATTTTGGTTTGTAAGCTCTCATAAATAAGTTTATTATGTTTGTTATAAAAAGGTTTTTTTAATAAATTATTATAAAACAGTTTTATTTTTGTTTTTAATTGATGTTTTATAGATTTTTGCAATGTGATAGACTGAGTATACTTTTTTAACTCCAATAAAGAGTCTTATTTAATTAAAAAAGGAAAATAAGTTTATAGATATTAATTATGATATTAAATTGTAGTAGACTTACCTTAACGTTACTGCTAATTTTTCAGCTGCTGATATTGGCTTTGGAAATTTTATACTTGGACTAGTTGTTATATAATTCTCTATTATATTTAAGACGTACGTGTATTGATCTCTACTTAATCTAAAAAATTCCCGAAATTTACTCTCATCTCTCCATAAATGTTTTTCGATGAGTATACTGAAGACACCTTCTGTTTTCCTAGTTAAAAACATCTCATGTGCCTTGTTGGAATTGTTAAACATTACCTTATTGATAATTGTTTGTTCTTCATCTACTTCTTGTAAAAGAAGTAAATTTAAAATTAACTTTTGTTTTTTGTTTAAAGACATTTTGAAAAAGAAACGTCTTGTTGCTAACAGAGAAACGCAGCAAATGGTTCGTCGCGGTGCGGCGCGGCAGTAGTAGGAATCCGTACCCATGCCGCGCGGCCAAAAAATCGACAGCGCGACTGGGATTTTAATCGCGCCGCGCCGCGGCGCGTCTGCAGACGCGTTCATAGGAATCACACCTTTACTGCTATCAAAGTGAGATAAATATGAAGATGCGGTTTCGGGTGAATTCGATTGTGGCAACAAAACTCCTTCTTGAGGAGTATCCTGCAGTTGGTTAATAGTTTGGTACATAGTAGATGGACAAGATAAATGATCTGGTTGAATAATAGATGATTCATTATATCCAGCTACAGTACTGGAATAACTATGGTGTAATTGAAGTGAATAATTGGTTGAATTGTGAGATATGTTAGAATAGTTTGATGTGGAAGAACTAGACAAAGGTGTTGATGAGCGAGAACAAACTCCATCAAATGGCGTTGTTGTTGGAGTCATTACCTTATGTGATATTGTTAAGTTTCCCATTTCACCTAAGAATAAAGCTTCGTTGATAATTTTTTCAGCAAATAATGCTTGTGTCTTGTCTTAGTCTCGAAGTTTTAGTGCTATCCCTTTACCAAAAATGTCATATCACTCATCTTGAGATGCTGGACGTTTAAAGTGATTCTGAACGGTTAACAAAACATCTTTTGTTAAAGCTGCTTCATAATTTCTTTTTAATGGTCTTGTAGATTGAAATTTAGTACAAGTAGTATCTGTAGAAGTAGTACTTGTGAGAGTAGATATAGGTAGATCTTCAGAAGGAGGGTCCTTATTTGATTCTATTGCTGTTTCCGATAATTTTTCCGTATTAATCTGAAACAATATTTATTTACTTTAGTTTCCACGAACAGTCAATGAATGGAAAAATATATCGATGTTATTTGAAGAAAAATGGAACTTTCCTCATCTACTTGGAGCAATAGATGGAAAACATGTGGCTATAACTGCACCAATGGGAAGTAGTTCGGAGTATTATAATTATAAAAAACATCACAGCTTGGTTTTAATGGCTATAGTTGATGCAAAATATCAGTTTATTTTGTGTGACTTTGGAACCATTGGAAGAGTTTCGGATGGAGGGGTATTACAAAACACTAAGCAAAATTAAAATTAACTCCGATAATTTTAAGTTCGGGTTATCAACACTACATGCTTGGATACGTTTTTTTGAATGTTTGCTGCACGTATCCATCCTATCGTTTACCTTTTAAAAGTTGGAAAATCAGGTTAGTTTGTTTAATCGTGTTTTCATATTGAATAAGTGTATTAGAATAATTTTTTCTAAACATAATTTTAGATCGGAAGAACACAAGAAAATATTTTCGGAAAGAAAAAAAAGATTCAAGATGACTTTAGATCTGAAATGGATCTATTAGTCGATATAGTTTTGCAAGGTATAAACAAAAATAGCTAAAAGATTATTTAAACAATATTTAGATAATAAATAATATTTTGTTACGACAAACGATGGTAATACAGCTAGAAAGTTTTTTAGATATTTTGAAAAGTCTGCCAAAATTACCTATATAGATGAAGAACTTATAAAAAAATTTGGAAATATACTGATGGTTTTAGCTAGTGGTTACGAAATAAAAACAGTAGCATTTAAGAACTATTGTTTAAATACAGCAAAATATTATTACATGCCTGCGAGTGTACATAAAATATTAATACACGGTGCTGATGTTATTCAACACGCACTACTTCCAATTGGTAATTTCTAAAATATTTATATTTCATTCGCAAAAGCTTATTATTTTATATATTTACTATTTTGTCAATTATCCGAGAAAGCTCAGGAATGCAGAAATAAAGATTTTAAGATATTTAGACAATATCATTCAAGAAAAAATTCTAGGATCAATAATAAATAATAATGAAGATCTTGTACATATGTTATGTGTATCATCTGATCCAGTTATATCAAGTTTACGTAACGTACTAAAAAAAATATACTCAAGCTTTACGACGAAGCAAAAACCTTAAATATATCGAATAAATAAAATAAAAATATATATAAAAAAACGCAGTTTATTATTCCATTGTGCACTGATTCCATTAAAACCAACCTTTTTAATTATGATGTGTATGAGGTATAAAATCCATTTTTTTTTCTGAATAAATTTTTATGAAAATAAATTATCGTAAAAAAAAAATTTATAATTTTTTTAAATTTCAAAAATGTTGATAATAGTGGGTTGAAATAAAAAAATAATGACAAATTTGAAATTGTTGCCCTCGAATACATATGTTTTCATATATTTAATAGTAATATCTAATAAATTAAAGGTGATATTAATTTCGACAAGCTAAAATTACATTTCAGACCACTGTGCGTCACAAAAAACTATGCGTGTCAATATAGATTGATACTCGATTTAAATATTACATGTTGAATACAATATATATATATTATTAAAGGCCTTCCGCTGTGCATTTATTAGCATCTCGCATCGGCGACCACTGTCCGACAACGAATGTCGGGCCACAACTGTCCGACTGCAACTGTCCATCTGTCGAACGACAACTGCTGTCCGGCTCGCCGGACGTCGGTGACACCGTCACACACCGGTAAAGATAATAGACGGGATAATAGAGCGGGGAGCGGGGAGTCTAGAGAGTTCTAGAATGATCTCGGGTATCAATGACCGGTGGTCTATCGATAAAGGCTATGACGGTGTACGTATTTTATAAATGTATATATATATATATATGTATATGTGTACCGATATCCGATACACATATTACATCAATAATTTCGTGAGAATCGAGAATAAAGTTAAATATATTTTCTTATCGAATACATTTTACCGCCCGAGCTTGGTCCATTTCCACTGTTTTGTCTCGGTTTTGTTTACGTTGTTATCGTACAACTGGATCATAATTGCTTCCAACATAGCTGACGATATGGTGGGATTTTCCCGGACGTCCAACACGACCAGAGAGTTGTTGATCATCAACGTGGAGAGCGCCAACTGAGCGCCGTGGTCTGTAAGCCCACAATTCTGCAGATCCACAGCTTTCACATAATAGTCATCTTTTAACGACTCAAACAGGTCGGCCAATCCAGCGTCGCCAATGCTAGTGTTGTTGTTGAGCGTCAACCTCCTTAGCCCGTGCATGATATCCGGATTGGCGGACCTGTACCTCAGCGAGTGCGCCCAACATTCTTCGTGTCGCTTAACCTGCTGTTTTTTGATCACGTCCAGCAGACCGGACTTAACCGAAGCACGACTTAGGGAACATCCAGACAGGTCCACGGACCGGATGTTTGGTTTGTCCCTGAGCACCCGGCACAGCGATAAACAGGCATCGTCTCCGATGCGGCTGTAGGCCAGAGATAAGTGCTGGAGCGTTTGGTTGGTGTCGATACCTGATATGATAGTTCCTAGAGCTTGTTCGTCGAACAGCACATTTTCCAGTTCAAGGCAAACCAGTGCAGTCGTATTGATCATAACTTCGTAAACCGAAGTAGCAATCAGTCGCATCACGTATAGTGTGCTCACAGCAAGAACGTTTCTGTAGAAAAACGATCACGATATAGTGACGACAACAACAATAATGTACCGCAAGTCACGGAAATTACGGGTGACAAATCTAGAAATAGACCAGGCAACAACTATAGCCACCCTATCATTATAAAATATCTTAAATTTAAAAAAATTGTCGATTTTTAATGCTTTATGGGAGTTAATCATAAAATACCAGATATTTTACAATATGCTTACATATTGAAAGCATCAAATCCAAAATACCTATTATACAAATTCTTATTGTTCTATTTTTTTTTCATGGTTGAGGGGGGAGGGGAAGAAGAAATGACTCAGCCATTTTGCAAAAATATTCCATTGGTATTTGAAGCGCTAAATGACATTTTTTAATGTGTGCTTTTGAAAATTATTAAAACGAGAAAATTATAGTATTTATGGAAATGTTTTTAGAAGTGATCATATAATTTTTTTTTTTGTTAATGGGCATTTTTTTTCATGGGCATGAAAAATAATTGTAATTATAAATATTTTATGAACTTGATGTTGTAGGTAAGTTTATTTCTAAGAAAATTTGGCCGCCCAGTTCTACATATTTTGTCTCTGGGTAATAAAACTCATGTATGTATTGAATTATAACATGATATGTAAACATGTTAATCTTCCATTACCTACGTTCTCAAAGGCGATTAAGATTTAAAGTATTTTAATTTATTATTATATTATTATAAATTGCACTTAAATATACCTTACCAATCTATATCAGCATAACATAAGGAAGACACAAKAAAATTTTTGCTACTTAATTTAATAATATTTTATTTGGATTCGAAAAACACTTACTTTGGTGCTTCAACGACACTACCAAATGTATCATAGTTTCTTGCCAATTTTTCTGTGTATCGTTTATTTTTTATGCGCACGTGATGGGTACTGGTATCAGTGCTCAGAGCTTCCATTGCGACTTGCCAATCTTCAGCTTTTATACTATCACCTAATATTTCAATGGAGTTCATCTTAACACTACATTTCACCCACTGAACGGGTCGTGTTTTGTATTTGCCACAAAGTGCAGTGTATACCAATCCAAATTGATGTTTCAATGAACTTTCGAACGACTCGTTTGACCTGATGATAGATAATGATGTTTTATGTTTTTCTCTAAGAGATGACAACATTCTAGAGCTATTGGATTTTGACGAATGACCAACCGACATGGTCAAAAGTGGCTTAAAATTATGTTAATATAATGTGGGGAAAATATAAGTCAATTCTCAGAAGAATAAATCTGAACATGTGCTATTTTGTTCTTAAAATAAGTTTTAATAATGTTCACAAAATATTCTAATGCAATTAAATAAATTATTATCTAGTATAATAATTTTAGTGGATCTGTTTATGCCAAACAGACAAACAAACAACAATTACGTGCTATGACAACTTATAAATATATCGAAAAAATATTATAATATTAATATTCCAAAATCACTCAAGGATTTCTTTTCATATCACAAAATCGTATCCATKACGAATTAATTAAAATTGAATAAAAATGGGTTACTTATATTAATTATTTTAACTAAAATTGATCCAAATTTAGATTACTTGACCGGATAATTCAGTCTAAAAAGGTATAGCTAAGTACTAAGTTTATGTAATAAATAATACAGACCCCCATTAAAATAAATAAATTTGTTACCGGCCAAGTAAACTAAATTTGAATCAATTTTAGTTAAAATAATTAATATTATAAATTAATATAAATAACCTATTTTTATCCAATTTGAAATAATTGGTCAATTTTGAGAGTAGGTAGGTTTTTATTAACTGGAGCTTAGAAAATCACCTTTCATCACTTGTAACTTGCAGTTATGAGTAAAGCTAAAAGTATACGTCGAGCAATAAATTGATACATTTGGTGCCAATGATCCAATATTTTAATTACAAACTTTAAAAGTTCAATCGGAGACAAATTGGATTCAACCATTGGTATTATAATTCTGAGTTCATCTGCCATTTTAAGTCCGTTGATATCGGCTGAATCTCCATTTGTTAAAAATAGTTGCAAATCTTTGCAGTGATTTAATAGGTTATCGTATGAAATATATTTTTATTTATTTATGTCATAAAGAAAAGAAAAATAATCGCTGTTCTTTTATCTGTTAAAATCTATCATTTATACTATTAATAGCAATATCAAATATATTATTAAGGAAGTAAACTTTAAAATCAATTTTTGGATTAATAATAGGTTCATCCAAGTTTTTGTAATCAATTTGTCTTTTAATACGACGCACTTTGATTCTTCTAACTGATTTCTCAAATTCATACACCATATCAATTTCTGATGCCAGTTTTGAAGCTTCAAAAACTTATTTGTCGCAATTTGAATTATCACAATCAAGTCATTGATGTTCCAAATATGATAATAATGCTTCTAATATTTTTATATATTTTTATTTATGTACTCATATCAAAATTGATTTTTACATTAATTTGGTTGAGTAAATCATATCAAATAATGATAGAACAAAGAAACTTAATTTTTTTTAAATACTTACGAAGACATTCAGCTTCATGTCTAGTCATAAAATCCAAATCTTCATCTTGCACAATTTCGAATTAAACATCATACATTTTTCCAATTTAGTAATGAAAAGGTTTAAGTGCTTCGATTCTACTTTCCATCTTGTCTGACTTAATAACTTCACCATTAAATTTATAATATTCCTTATATTAGTAATATATTCCAAAATTATACTATAATATTTTGCTTCCTTAACCAAAGTCAGTATGTGTTTCTTAATAGCACCGGATATTAAGCTTATGATTTCATTTTATATTGACGCGGCCCGCGTAATAGCCGTTTGAATTCAAACGGCCTTTGCGCGGAAACCTGCGCCGTATATTCTCTCTGTCAACCACCAATCGACGACGGCCGACACCAACACGCGATAAGCGCGCCTGGAAATGTCGACCGCCGGTACCGCGAACCGGCTTGTAGCAAGTTCTAGGTTTTACGACCGCGCTTGAGTGACAAACACCACGCACCGATCGTCCTCGCCCGTGTCGTACCCTCCCCGTGCAATCGTGCTCTTTATTGTGTGCTTTTGTTTTTTTTTACTTTACTTCCTCATCACACATATTTTTTTTGTTTGTTGTTGTTTCTTTTGTCGTTAAAATAAAAACAACCACCGCACATCTGCGATCAAAAACGAAAGTGTTTTTTTTTTTGTTAACACACCACCATAATTATCTTTGTGGGATCCGTCCAGGACCGCCACAAAATTGGCTCCCCTTACAGGAATCACCGGTAAGTAAACTCTGTTTATCTTAACTTACCCCATACTACCCTCATTACATTTCCCGTTGTGCAACTCGCGGAAAAATTCCCGATCCCATACGACGCGAACGTGGTTTGCAGGCGGTAACGGAAAAACCCGGCGTTACGTAACATAACCACAAAGCACGTTACGACCGACCGACCACGCCGCCCGACTTACAGACGCACCGATTTCAGCGCGCGCGACACCGCAAACACACGGAGTAGGATAGGTAGGAACGCTAGAGCGCGACAAAGTCACACAACCACCGCCCAGCACCACCACCCGCAACGTCATCCGCGAGCACCAGGGACAGATATACGAATAACCGGACAGCCGACGCCGCAGCCGCCGCTCAGAGCGACCGCCGCCACAATCGTAATCGCGATAGTCGACCGGACAACGCACACACGCGCAGCCGCGACATTCGCTGCGAAAACCGGTTAGTGTAATCATCCCGGCACGCACAACAACAGATCCACTTGTCGCGGACGTTATCGCAACGGCCGCGGCTGCTTTATTCTCGTCCGCGATAACGCGACGGGACTGGGTCGTGCGACGACCGGTCCGGCCGGCACGGACAGTTGGCTTAGAACAACGGTCGCCGGACTTTAACAATATTATTATTTGTTGATTAAGCTATAATAAAGAGTGTTAACTATAATAAAAACGTGTGACAGTTATTTTTCCATTCCGTCAGATACCTACATTGGCGCAGTCGGAAAAGGAGTAAGGTAAGTGCTAATTTTAATAAAAAATAATTTTACGTAAATTAAAGTAAATTAGCACATATCGGGTTAAAAGAACCTACAATAGGTGTCCTSATCATACCGGTTCCTAAATAGTTTATTCAAATTATTTTTTTGTTATTTTAAATAAAATAATAAGGGCTTATCCAATCTAAGGTGGTRAAWTTTGGCAAAATTTGCATAATTTAGCGTAATTCCTACTGAGCTAAACTTAGTTTAAGCTATTTATAGATTGGAAAGTACATATCTCTACCAGCGATAGCCCGAGTTACGTAAATTCGTATCCATCGTAATTTAATTAGATAGATAAAAGCAATTAAATTTAATCTCCACAATGGTTACTAAATGCATTAGTGAGTTAAATATTGTCGATATTAACCGGGAATTATCGAAACGTGGTATTGAGACCAGGGGGTCCAAGGCCAATAAACTCCTAGCATTAAAAGAGTATATTAGGGCTAAGGATAATTTGGATCCAAGATCAGTACGGTTTGGGGAAACTGACGAGACGTCAGCCCAGGTATTGGAAGGAAAAACATCGGAGGCTCAAACTGAGGAGGATGAGGTCAACTCTGAAAAGAGTCTGATAAATCAGTTCATGGAGCAGATGTTAGATAGGCTGGAGGGGTTGGAAACAACGGTTGACAAGCAGCAACTAACAATTGCTACTCTCAGTGAGAGCGTGGAACGCTTGGAGCGGTAGTTAGCCGAAGAAAAGCTTAGGTTGACAGAACGGGTGGCGCAAGCAAGTTGCGCATGCCGTGGGGTTTCCCCCAAATCCTCCACCAGCATTTTGTCCGGAGAAAATCAAAATTTCCCGGGCAAAAGTCAAAATCTTCCGGTAAAAACTCAAGGTGTGAGTTTTGAGAGCCACTGGGCGAACATACGGAGCAGATTGGCCGGGAAAACCCGAGAAATCGGGATGTATCCGGAGTTATCGGTAACCGGTCCGGAGTGTCCGGTGAAATGTCCGGAGTCTTCGGTGATCTGTCTGGAGTGTCCAGCGAAGTGTCCGGCAGAAGTGAAGGGGAAGTGTTACGGAGTAGTTTTTCCGGTGTAAAACGCGTGCATTTCCCCGACAGCCTGCTCATTCCTCAGAATGAGCTGAATATGGCCCGTGCGTCGATACCAGAGTTTGCCGGTAAGAGGGAGGAAGACCCAGTGCGGTTTTTGCTCCAGGCCGAGGCAATACTCGAAGAAACTGGTATCCACATGGCTAGATGGGTGACCGTTTTGGCCCTCCAGCTGAAGGCACAGGCAGGAACATGGTGGGGAACCATGAGAGCGTTGGACTTACCATGGCAAGAGTTCAAATCTGAACTATTGGAGAAGTTCAACGGGGACGAGTTGCAGTCGAGTCTGCAATCAGAATTGTTGAGCACCACTCAGACCAAGAACGAAACACTGGGGGAGTAAGTTCTACACAAGTACCAGTTGTATCGGAGGTTAAACCTTGGGCTGACTGAAGAAGCGGTGGTAATGACAGTGATTGTACTCATGCGTGATGAATTTAGAATTCATGCACGTATTCAGYGRCTGARAGCGTTCAGTGAATTRCGAGCGCTTGCCCATGTTCTGGATGGAAGCAAGGCCGTAATACCGGTTAAGGCGGGAGTGAGCACTGGCGGACCACCAAAGTTAAAATGGTGGGATAACCGAAAAACTGAGAGCGCTGAGAAATCCCAAGTGCCAAATTCGAAGCAGCGACTTACAACTATATCAGGATGCAGAGTATGTGGTAGTCATGACCACTGGCAAGCTGCATGTCCAAAAAGAAAGTCGGAGTCCGGAAACGCTAAAACGACCGGCGTCCCGACCGGCCAGGAAGTAACCGGCGGAAAAACAAAGAGTCGTCCGAAGAGAAGTAAGCAACGAAGTTCCGGTGCAGGAACCACAAATTACCAAAACTGACCCGGAGAAAAGGAACTTTGGTGCTGTACGGACCGAAGATTTTGAAAAGGGTCCGAAGAAAACGGGCCAAGAGAGTTCAGGACCGGAGAAAACCGGTAAGAATGGAAATCCTTTCCAGTTACGTGTCCGATCAGAGACAGTCAAGTCACCGACGTTTTTGACTGATAAGTCAAGTGTATTTCACACATATCAGTCGCCGAGACCGGTCAGTTCAGAGAAATCGGGTGTCGTGTTGAGTAAACACATAACCTCTTTTAAATATTTTTTTGTTTATTTAATTTAATAATATTAAAATAATACTACGCAATTATATTACAACGTGAATATGGCAAACTTCACTGACGAAGAATTGTGTATCATTGCGATCATTTTAGACGAGGAAACCGAAGAAGAGAAGAAGACTCCAAAGAGACGAAAGTGGGTGTATGAGGCAAGGCAAAAAACAGACAGCGAAGGAGAGTTCTTGACACTGTATAAGGAACTGATTGAAGATGGAACTAAATTTTATCAATATTTCAGAATGTCTGAATATTGTTTTAATACGTTACTTGAAAAATTGGATGTATATTTAAAGAAAAAAGATACACATTGGAGAAAAGCTATAACACCAAAGGAACGGTTAGCAGTTTGCCTAAGGTATGTTATAAAATTACTTAAAAATAAAAAATAAAAATTATAAATTAATATATATTATAATATAATATGTATGATTGAAAAATTATATATCTTATCAAATGTGAAATATTGAAGTGAAAAAAAAAACATTTAAATATTACTAATCAGATTGATAATTTTGATAATAACTTTGTAAGTTGTGGAATGACGCTGAACTTATATTTTGATCTGGTTGAATGTGTTCATTAAAATCTTCACAGGGCGATGGTAGTGGCGTGACTGATGTCGTTGATAATGTAGTTGATGAATTTGTACTTAATATTTGTTGTAGTTCATATTTTTGAACAATAGCAAAAATTTCTTTTGTCAAGTTCAAATTGTATGAAAAAAATGTTTTTAGAGTTGGAGCTATACCAGTTAAAAACGCATCGACTGGGTGTTGCAAGCATGTGGAAATTTGACTTTCTTCTTTTTTTTTACTTATTAAATACTCCATTAATCTTGCAGAAGCGGTTGGCTGAGAAACCGAAGTTTTCAAACATTTTTGTTTTGGTGTTTTCATCGGAACATGAATTTCATTGGTTTGTACCGAAGTGGGAGATGGTTGACGTATATCTTCTTCAGGTAGTTGTTCCTCTGAATCTGGCTGCATATTTTCTTCCTGTTATTGGTCATTTTCATATTCAATATTTGTTTTGGATTTTCTTTCTTCAAAATATTTGTTTATGAAACTTAGTTGATCTGCAAATTTATAAGTTTTTATTTTTTTTGGCAGCACTTTGTCCACTTTTTGTTACATTTTTTTTCAACGACTTTCTGTAAGTGTCTCGGATATTATTCCACCTTGCCTTACATGCAGCAACTAAAAAAGTAAAAAAATTACAACATTTTATTCGAATAATATTTAAAAAATCGGTAACTCGCTCTACTGTATACCAGGAGTGGAGTGGACGTTAGGTGTGAGTAGGTCATTATAATGAATGGGTTGAATTTTAATTCCGATAAGTACAACTTATGAGAAACCTTGTATTATATCAAGAATTTTTGGCCGGCCAATTTATGACTTAATAATTAATTTAATAATATTGATTAACGAAAATATCAACAAATACATTTAACAAATCATATAAATTTAAACTTTTAAAATTTATTTTTAGATATTTAGCGACGGGGGATTCTTTACAGACAATTTCTTTCAGTTACCGTTTGGGACATAGCACAGTACAAACAATTGTAAACGATACTTGTAAGATTATATGTGAAAACCTATTGGCCGAAATGATGCCAAATCCAACGGAAGATATGTGGATATCTATTGCCAATGACTACAATAAAATTTGGAACTTCCCAAATTGCGTAGGCGCTTTGGATGGCAAACATGTCAACATTCAAGCTCCTCCAAATAGTGGGTCGTTGTACTTTAATTACAAGAAGATGTTCTCAGTAGTCTTAATGGCTCTTGTTGATGTTAAGTACAATTTTATTGCAGTTGACGTTGGTGCATACGGAAAAAGTAGCGATGGGGGAATTTTTACAAATTCTAATTTAGGTAAAGCTATTGAACAAGATAAACTACGAATACCACGAAGTGTAAAGTTGCCTAACACATCTATTGAAGTTCCATATGTTATTGTAGGGGACGAAGCATTCCCTTTAAAAACATATTTAATGCGACCCTACCCACGACAAGATTTGGATGTTTCTAAACGTATTTTCAATTACCGTTTCAGCCGTGCTAGAAGAGTGGTTGAAAATACATTTGGAATATTATCTCAAAAATTCAGAATTTACAGTAGGAGAATTCAAGCAACGCCGAAAAATGTGGATAGCATTATACTGGCGACCTGTATATTGCATAACTTTATTAAAAAATATGATACCAACACCTACAGTTACGAAAGGAATGAAACTTACATTAATGGACCTATTGATAAAGGACTAGAAAACTTACGTATGCAAGGTGGCAATGCTACAAAGGATGCCTTTTGAAAAAGAGAAAAATTCAAGGATTATTTTAATTCAGAGGTTGGATCTGTATCGTGGCAAGAAAGGATAATTTAGAATTAATTATATTGCATTTAACTATTTTAGTAGGTATGCTATTGTATTGTAAAAAAATAAAATATAAGTTTTTTATTTACTGCCACACACTATTATTAGCTATATCTTAATAAATTAAATAACAAATATGAATTTAAGGAAAAAAATTAAATGAAATACACAATTAATATTTATACAATTSTATTCATTTTTAATTTAATATTTTTATTTTTTTGTGTTTAATTTTCAATTGATATGATAGTTTTATCATATAGTTATACTTCGACCATAATATAAACAAGTTTAATATATAACTTTAATAGTTTATATGGTTGAAGCAGGGGCGTGCCCAGGATTTCTTTTTGGGGATGGTTCTATAAAATAAAGTCCATTATTCTTGATACTGATGCAAACTTTCATTCAACTTACAATTTTGTTGCAATAAAATTATTATTATGTCATCGATAAGACCCATACGGCAACGTGAAAACGGATTTCATTCAAATTAACGTAAAACCCCAAAAACAGCGATAAGCACCTGCCGTTGTACCACGAATATAAAATACGCAGAAATGTACTAAAGGGAATAAAAACCAAAGATCGTCAAATATTGTATTATTTTTATATTAATTATTATACTATCGGATTTCCCCATAATATTATGTTAATGTTATTTTTTATTTTGTAAATATCATGAAGTTGAAAAAAATAAGCCATGAAAATAAGCCATAAGTTTCATGAAGTTACGATGTGACTTATATAATATAATAACTAAATAATATAATATAATATAATAGTTTATATAATAATATAATATTTTTTTTAAATATAACTTACCGTCTGATTTTAATTGTTCTGCTATTTTCTGCCAAATGTCTTTTTATAAGAGGTGTCCATATATTTTGGATTCGAAAGATCATACAAAACTTCATATTGTCGAACACATTCGATAAGATGTTCGTCATTCATTTTGCCAACAATTGTCGTCGGTCAAAACAAAAAATATCATTGGCGAAAATTCAAAAGTTCTCGGATCTGAGACTGAACGGATACTGACGGATCGGATTCGGATAGAAAACTGATGAGAGTAGACGACGCGATCTAAATTTAGCGAAACGTTATTTTCCATGACTGAAACTGACCTGACTTCTCGGAACTGAACCGTCTCGTGACTGATATGTGTGAATAGACCTTAAATCGGTAAATCAACCATCAACGTACTATATCGTGTTGATAAACAAACAATTTTGTACGACGGCTGACGTCACAGTGCAATTTCCCCCACTTCCATTTGTAATAGAATTCCAGTATGAGGCAACCTCTATTATCTAAATAAATAAACTTAAAATAAAACTTAAAATCGATAAACCTTGGGTGCACCCACGGCTATAGATACTATAGTTGTGGGACGGCCCGCGGCCCATCAAAGCTGTATATCGAAAGCGGCGAGTATAGTTCTACCGGATTTCTAATAACACCTAGCGCTTCCAGTGAATAATAGTAGTAACTACATAAGAAACAATGGTTTTGAAATTGCGCGGGATGTAAAAATATATATTTTTTAAAATAATTCAACAATTATTTATTGTTTTCCCTATATAGTATATAGTGTGATGTGTGAATTTATTATCATAAATCGTATTATCATTGTCTATGACTATTGTTTATTTAATTACATTTCCCTCTATATTGATGTACATTGTTCATTATAACCCATATATTCAGTATTGAGTAAATAGTTAAAATAAAAAATAAAAATGTCTCCTTGTTGCGTACGAGAACCGCATGCTATTTCTAAAAACACATTTGGCATTCCAAAAGATGAGCAAGAAAAAAAAAGTGGGAAGAAGCTCTAGGAATTGTTTTTAAAAAATGGGATCGTATTTTCTCTAGTCATTTTAAAGAAGCAGATATAATTAGTACATGGASTTCAGGCGAAGGTCACAGTAAATATACTGTTAGTGTTTATTACATAGATTAAAATCTGTATAAATTGTAAATTAATGAATTGTGTACATTATTTATTAATAAGATATGTCTGAAWCGACTAAGATTAAAATCTGGAGCAGTACCAGTCATGGGCTCTAGAACAACAACAGCACTTAATCATACTCAATCTGTAGAGGTTTGTAGTTTTATTGTATACAATTTAAACCTTAAAGCTTAAAGTTACCACACATAATACAATCTACATAAATATATTATTGTATGATTCTGTAGATTTTTGAATCTTGTAGTAGTTTTAAGTGACAAATTGCAGGAGCCCGTGCCCAAAAGAATAAAGGTTATATTACATTTATTGGGTCTATTGGACTAAAATTATAAATAATAATAACTWTTAAACARTATCATTATGATATTTATTAATTCTCTTTTAGATATTWAAAAAAWAAWKTTTTTCAGATTGAACCATTGAATGTTCCTTTAAGTTTGACATTATATCAAAGTGTTTTCAATAATATGAACTTAATAAATATTCCACATAAATGGCAAGCAAATGTAGAGATAATAAAAAATGCATACATAATTGTTTTCCATAAATTAAGCTCAAAAATTGTTATAAAAGCAATCTTACTACTGGAGAAAGTCGGTGTAAAGATTGTAGGATTGACAAGTGATGGTGCTTCTACTAATCGGACGATGTGGAGTACATTGGGTATAAATCCAAAAATTGAAAATTTTAATAACTCGTTTCGAAATCCATTTGATAACGATAGAAAAGTGTTTGTCTTCTCAGATGCACCTCACTTATTGAAAACAGTACGGAATAGATTACATAACAAAAAAATCTTGAAAGTAAGCCATAAAATAAAATTATCCTTTGATAAAAAAAATCTTTAGCTTTACTATAACTGTATCTTAGTTATAATATTAACAATTGTATCACATATATTTGTTAAGATCCATCTAGATAAACCTCCAATAAAATGGGAATTTTATAAAAAAGTTTTTGAGTATGATTCTAAAAGTCTTTTAAAAGTTTGTCCAAGGTTAACATCAAGTCATTTTGATTTAAACAATTTAACTAAGATGAAGGTTAAATATGCATCTCAAGTAAGTTAAGAAATGTATATCTCTATTTATAATAAATGAGTTTAAAAATATTAACCCAATTAACTATTTGTTTATTTCTATAAAATATAGATGTTTAGTAAATCTATGGTAAATGCAATACAATTTTATAAAAGTAAAAACTATGAAGGATTTGCAGATTGTGAAGAAACTATTAAATTTACTAATATATTGAATAACCTTTTTGATGCATTGAACAGAAAATTTCCTGGAGAAGGAATTCGAAAAAATAGTCATGATTTAGAGGTTTATTATGTGTTATGTGGTGTGTGTTAAGTGTTTGCATKTATGTATAAAATTGTGTTTTCGTGATATTAAATGTTGATATACAATTGAAAGAAAGTACTTTAACATTAAAATTAAAATAATATTACTTGAAACTATCATTATATTATATTCTATGTTATGTTCATTTAAGATACTAAAAGACACGTTAGAGTGGCTCAATGATTGGGAACAAAATTTAAGAAATAAACTTATCACAGATGACATGTTTCTTACTAAACAAACCACAGAGGGCTTAAGAATCACCATTAAATCAACAATAGACTTGGTAGAATATTTGCACACTGAATGTGGATTTGCATATGTTCTAACATCTAAATTAAACCAAGACTGTTTAGAAGTAATTTTTTATCTATATCTGATCTAGGGAAAAAAATATAATTTATTAAATATAAAATTACATGTATATAATACCTAAGTTAGTAATTACTAATTGTAATTATTACCATTGTTTTTCTAGAAGTTTTTCGGAATCATAAGGCAAGTGGCAGGCCCTAATGACCATCCGTCCACACCAACATATTTACAGTTATACCGAATATTGTCAGTTTATTCATTAATAAAACCGCCTAAAACGGGGAATTGCACTATTTTGGAAGGTAAAAAAAAATAATAATTAATTGCATATATTTTATCATCATAAATAGGTATAATTGGCTTCAACTTACTTTTAAAGAGAATGTTCTTGTTATAACAATCAGTGATATGAAAGAAATAATGAATAAACAAGATCAATCTATAAGAGACTTAAAAATTAGTAAATTAAAAGAGAAAATTGATAGAATAGTTGATGAAGGTATTTGGGATTTTGACGATGTTTTTCAAGACCATAATTATTTTGATAATTCCTCAACAGTTTTTGAATGTGTTGTGTATTTCTTAGCTGGGTAAATAGTATTAATTTAAATATCTTTTATTTTACTTTTTAATTATTATGTTATAATCTAATGTCATTAGGTATATGAATAAAAATATAATTAAACACATTAAATGTGAAATATGCTTAAATAGCTTAAAACCTGAGTATGGTCAAGTTGTTGTCCCAGAAGCAGATCTTGTAAATTTGAAGACAGAGGATTTTTGACACATCCAAATAAAAACCTGTATACGATAGCAAAACTAATTGAAATGTGCTTTGAAAAACATGCGGAGTCACCAAATGTATTTGAAGATACATGTGAAGAATTCTTTAATAAAAACATAAAGCTCACGTTTCCATGTAGTGAACACAGGAGTGATGTGCTTACTAATATCTTTAATATGTATATAGTCATGAGAATGAGACAGTTCACATATACAACAAACCAGCAAAATAAAAAACAAAATAAATGTAAAAAAATCTCTAAATTAATGATTACATAAATTTTCATAAATTTTCATAATATATGATTTAATTTTATTGTTTAAATACTATTGCATTTTAAAATCAAAACCTGTCAGTTAATTTAAAAACTTTTATAATTATTAATTAATACAATAATTATAGGTCATATTTGATATTTATTTTTTTACAGTTAAACCTAACCTAACATTGTATATAATAATATTTTTGAACTACAAAACTAGATAGCGCTAGATGGTATTAGAAAGGC